CCGCGCCCCCTGGGGGCGAGGGGGCCGTTCAGTACCCTAGTACGAACAAACGATTGGATCTTCGACCCTGCACAGTGTTTCTTCCTACAATTGTTGTGGACTATGGGGGTTCTTGTTTTGAAATTCTCGGCGGTATGCCTCATTTGGAACGAGCTGACTGGACCCTGCGTTCACATGAGTGATATTTTGGCTCTGCAAGGAATGTGGCCTTGAGAAATGTGAGTGGCATTTTGCATTGGGTGAAGCCCGGGGGCGGGTGTGCTGCTGGACGAAGTACAGGTTTTCGCGAAACCTTCTACCGGGGTTTTGCTCTTGAACAGACTGCTCGGCCCCACCTACAAATATGCCCCACGCACGCACGCGCAGCAGACTCTCACCACTTCACGTACACACACCATATACCCCAGCAAGTCGACATGCCCGCTGTTCTGGATCGTTCTCTAGCCAAGAACAACAAAAAGAGCTCGCCAACAATATTGTGTCTGACCAGAGAATGAGACTTCCAGCGTAGACAACAGTTGTCCTGGATGAGATGTACATACACCCTCTTGCAGCATGATCGAGGATATACGCCTCCTCCGCTCGCCATGAGCGACCCATACATCACTGCAGCATGTCGCGTTTCACCTCACCTGGCCTTATAGAAACTGCAGTCGCACCCATACAGAGGTTTCGGGTCAAACGAATCGACCCACTCAGGCGACCGCGACACCCCCTCGGGAATGTTTAGTGGTAGGAGTTCGTCGGCGGTACAAGCCCTAAGAGAGGTCTCCATGTTGATCTGCGGGTCCGGAAGAACTCCCGATGAACCCGTCAACAGGAGGCCCCCCATTCCCGCCCATAAGTAGAAATTGACCTTGGTGGTAACAGGTACGTGCACGGAATGAAGGTTGCTCGTGGGAGTATGTGAGAATCGTCTTTCGGAGACTGGGTATGCATACGAGATATTATGCATTGTCCCAGAGTCCCCGGAGAGATTCAAGGAGAAGGGTTACAAGGCACTCAGGGTGGTGCTGGCTGAAACTCCGCGTGGACCCCGACGATGAATCATGGCGAACCTACCCTTTATCGCCACCCTGCCGCAATTTTCATGTATATAGTGAAGTGGGGCCTTGCATCCAAAGTGTCACGTGTCATAATGTGGACGAACGAAACTGTGCCTTTGCCATGGGTTTCGATGACAACATGCGGTGGGTATATTATCCCAGAAGGAATTCTGCGAGAACCTTGACCTAGAGCAACGCTTCAGCTAGCACCTTGGCTGGTGGGTATATTATCCCAGAAGGAATTCTGCGAGAACCTTGACCTCGAGCAACGCTTCAGCTAGCACCTTGGCTGAGTCAGATTCAAGACGAAATTCGGTGAAGCCCGTCAGCAAGACCACGCATCATACCGCGACCAGCAGACACGCTTGACTCACTCTATTCGTAGCCATATCTGTACGCTGCAGTCGTGCCAAGGCCGAATGCCACGCCGTCGCCTGCGACACCAGAGATTGATTTGTCGGAACCCGGAAGGAATGCGTCTAAGCCGCAGTGCTTGGCGGAGCCCTGGAAAATTGGACAAATGGTAAGTGGAATTGCGATGATGCTGGATGGAAGCGAGAGGGAGATTAGATACGAATGCAGCCGCCATTTCGATTTACGGTGTGCTGACTGGCTTGGAAATTGAACCCTCGAAGCATGCACAGCATACGTCTCGCGCATCATACATCGGTAAATTGAAGTCACACAGCACTAACAAGAAAGGCAGACCTGGCGTGGCTACTTTCAAGCAAATGGGTCGAGGATGCGCTGATCTTGCCATGAAAACTCCGTAATTGCGACTGGAGTGAAACTTCAAGCAAAGACGGCTGGAAACCAGGAAGAGTCGCAGTGCAGTACAACATAGTCGGCAGCAGCAGTTTGCAGTAGGTAGTTCTTGATACCGACTCAAACCCATACGTGCAGTTGGTACTGGGCAAAGCACCAAGAAACGTTGATGCGCAGCGATATGCATGAATGAGTGAGGAAGCTAAAATATGTGAAACTGGTGATGGACAATCAGACGTATGTGCACGCACACACATAGAGATGGAGCTACGGTCTGAAAGATCCACAGCGACACACGACCAAGGTGTACGACCTAACCCAAACGTGCCGTCGGTACTGGGCAGCGCCAACAAACGTTCACACCCAGCGATATGCATGGGGAAGAGAACAAGCACATGTGGAGCTACGCATGAACAGTCATACTCCCATAGCCCTTGGTCATGACACGAACAGAGGTATCGCAACGTTTTGCAGATCCAAAGGCACACGACACGACAACGTAATCCACATAATCGAAACGCGCAGGCGGTACTCGGCAGCACCAAGAAACTTTCACGCCGAGCGATATGCATGGAAAGTCAGGAGGCACATTGATATGTGGAGCTATTCATGGACACTCACGTACTTGCATTACCCTGGTAGTGCACACGCCTAGAGATATCGCGACGTTATCCGCAATCTTGAGCGGCACCCGACAATGGAGTAAGACATCACCCAAATGCTTGTGAACACCGCCGCAGCGAGCAGCAACGTTCGTCGGAAGGAAAATACTCTGTCACGGCAATGGAGTGCGTATTGCCGTGTCAATGTCGTTACGTTTCGGTTTCCTTGTAAGTAGAAGTTCCAGGTAGGAGATATTCCAAAGGAGTTACTTTGCGCGGCGACCACAAAATATGCGACACCAATACGTGCATCTGTTGGCCGGCAGCATCATGTGACAAGTGTGCAACACGCGCACGGTTTGTTTGCATTTCATCGCATTATGCTTCGTCGCGGCAGGAAATGTTCCATCCGGTCATGCTCGTCGCGGTAGACAATCGTTCTTGGCCAATGTCGGGTCCATACCGCTGTTGTACCCGAAAAATACATTCGAGCCACCAAAATACATGTTTTCTTCTCATACTAGAGCAAGAAATGTGTCACGACCCAACGACCATCCTGTGAGTGTATACATGAAATGATGTCGTTGGTATTGTCAAACGTGATAGATATACTTGTAGCAATGCCAAGTGGTTGGTGCTGGATGTTCCCATGGAATGAGGTAGAGCGGAATACCGGGTGACATGTGTAGTACATAGGATGGATTCCAGGGATGTACAAGGTACCCCTGTTGTATGCGGCGTCGCCCCCTCAACGGGGCTTGTGTGTGTATATGTGGATACACCTAATCAAAACAAGTTATTCTCCTCGGCGCAAGCCCGCCGAGTTGCCGATACCCTATTCAACACACATCTTGCGATAAGCTACCCANCTGGATGTTCCCATGGAATGAGGTAGAGCGGAATACCGGGTGACATGTGTAGTACATAGGATGGATTCCAGGGATGTACAAGGTACCCCTGTTGTATGCGGCGTCGCCCCCTCAACGGGGCTTGTGTGTGTATATGTGGATACACCTAATCAAAACAAGTTATTCTCCTCGGCGCAAGCCCGCCGAGTTGCCGATACCCTATTCAACACACATCTTGCGATAAGCTACCCACAGTTCGGATTATCCTAACACGCTAGCGTGTGATATCATACGGGATCCCGAGGTGGGGCTAGCTACAGAAGGGTTCGGCCAGAGAACAGTGACACGGAAATTATGGAGCAGCAGCTGAATGAGCTCCAGCTCTCGGACGAGCAGCGAAACGTAATCAACGCCCTTATCAAGGAGCAGGTCAAGATCAAAGTAGAAGAAGCAGCAGCAGCAGAGCGCCCCGCAGCACAGAGCGAGGGCATGCCTTCCGAAGGAGGTGACACCCGGCTGGAGAGGCGGGCTGGCTCGGAGTCAAGCCCGCGACCCGAAGACCAGCCCCGATCGCCGGCGGACGTCAGCCTCATCGACATCCTCGCGCGGGCCTTGCAGAGGGTCAAGATAAAACCGGAGGATGAATACAGGGAAGTCCCAACCCCTAGAGAATAATACGTATTAGCGCAGGCATCACAATCCCTGCATTCTCCGGGAAGTTTAGCCCCGAGGACGATGTACAGACGGCGGTAATGGTTTTCACCAGTCAATTTCGATCTTTGTTGAAGCAGGAGCGTTGCCTTGGGGCAATAGAATCGAAGAACACGATTCGTGTAGGGAAGACGGATGCGAATATCTCGGCATTGAAGGTGGAGCATGGGACGGAAGCTGTAGATCGGGCGGTTAAGGCTTGGCAGCTAATTATATCCAACATGCAAGTACCGACAATATTCCCTGCAATCCTAGCGAGTGGTTGCCCAACTGAATCGTGGGATCAATTTCTCAACTTTTACCGAGTGCACGCAGAAACGGAAAAGTTGGAGCTGCAGGGGCAGAGGTACTCGTTGAAGCAGCAAGTAGGGGAGGAGCCCCTGCGCTATCTCACAAGAGCATCAGTACTTCGCCAGAACCTAGAAGCGTACGGTTGGGTGCAATCCGATCATGATGCTAACTTCCACTATGTACGCAACCTTCTGCCCGATTTCAATGTGCAGAGGAGCGTGTTGTTGGCGCATTCGGAGATCACGACGAAATTGGTAGAGAAGGTGATTATGACTTCCTGGGCGGAGACGGAGGCCGCTAGGAAGAGGGCGTCGGAGAGCGTGGGGGCGTATGCCCTCGTCACTGGCGGTGATAACCGTGGTGGCGGGGGCGGGAACATGGGGGATAGGGGGAAGACGAGAGGACAACGGAGGACGGCAGCGCGGCAACAGCAGCAACAACCGCAGCAGCCACAGCAGCAGCATCAGCCGTACTTCAAGCAGCAGCAACAGGTATACCCGCCGCCGTACCCGCCTGAGATAAAATATTGTGACCTCCACAACTCCTCGTCCCACAGCAACGAGGAATGTCGCTTAGAGCGGGGTTGGGGAGGTCCCTCGGGCGGCCGAGATGCGAGCTACGGCGGAAGGCACGGGCCCCAGCATGGAGGCCAGCATTTTTCTGGAGGACGTCATCAGCAGCAGCCGGCAGGAGGAAGATTCGGGGGGCGTGTCGCCGCGTCTAGTGGGAGGGGCAGGGTCCCTTTCCACCAGGGACCGCCGGGAAGCAACCTCCCCGCCTACCCTGTACCTCAGCGGGGCTACGACTACAGCGCCTACNCAGAGCAGGGAGATTACGAGTGGGCTGTGTACCTATTGGAACAAAGAGAGGTATCAGAAGACCCCTACGAGTTTTTAGACTTAATGGTTGAGGCTGGATTTGCAAATGTCTTCGATGATGTTGCTTTCGCTGTCCCAGTCATGGCCGCGGGCAAGCGCCCTTTTTCGGTAGGGAACCCCACCAAGATTATTGGCCTTAACCTTCTCCACGTTTCGTGCTCCCACGCCAATGAGATTCTCTCGCGTGAGCTTGCAAAGCAGCACGGTCTCCGACTGACCGGCGTCCTGCAGCCTTGTGGTGGATGTCTGCAGGCGAAGGGGAAGAAGGCGGGCGTGCCTCACCAATAGGGCACGCCACAGAGCGGCCGCACGATCTTTGGCATATCGATCTGTGTGGGCCGATGACGACCTCGCTGGGTAGGTCGTTTTTCATGATTATGTTCGTGGACAGATTTTCGCGGTGGAAAAGCTGTACGGGATGGGGCGCAAGTCGGACACCCTCGCCTTCATCAAGAAGTTCCTCGCCGACATGAGTCGCACCGGTGTCCCTCGTTCTTTCCGGATGGACAACGGGGGGGATTTCGTCAGCCGCGGCTTCATCGCCTTCTGCGACGCCGGCATCCGCCGTACGTACACGGCGCCGGGCACCCCGCAGCAACGGCGACAACCATCACGAGTCGGTGGTCAAGGTCCTCAAGGATGCGACGGGGCGCGTGTGCATGACGAACAACGTCGTATGGGTCTCCGACCGCGCGCCGTTGCTGACCCCGCCGCTGGAGATGCCGGCGCCGGCCGGCGAGGGGGGGGGGATTCGGATGTCGCCGCCGCACGGTTTCGAATTGAGTACATTTCACCGCCTCTGTTACCCCCCTCACCGTTCGCCCGATATCCCACTTTACCCACTGCCATATCCTCACAGGCACCGCCGGCAACTTCCACACCACCATCGCCGGCGGCGCCGTCTACCGCAGCCACACCATCTCCAACGGTCACCGCGCCGCCTGCAACACCACATGTAACGCCACAGTTCAGCACCACCGCGCCGCCTGCAACGCCGTTTGCCGTCGTGCCACCGACTCCCGCCGTCGCGCCGCCCGGTGCCGCGCCATCGACCAACATGCCGCCGCTCACTGCGAGGACCATCCGTGAACTGGACGTGGGGCCCGGGGGCATGAGGGTTTCTGGGCGCACGAGGGCAGCCGCTAAGGACCAAGGGGGGGGGCGGGCGTCGTCAATGCCGCCCCTCTCTGCCAGGGCCAATCGAGAGCTGGACTTGGGACGAGAGACGCGGGTGCCAGGGAGATTGAGGGGTCGGGGGGTGCGTTTCCAGAATGGGGAGGCCGAACGGTCGACGTCACCTGGCGGGAGCGGCGACGCTCCCGCCCACCACTTCGGGCTTGTATCGCTGCAGGACAAGGCAACGCTCCTGTCGACTCTCACCACTCGCAGCGTCGTCGATAGGGGGAGAAAGGAGATTCCGAGTTCAGGCGGAGGACGTGAAGGAGCGGAGCCGGGGGGGCGAGAGCTGGGGGGGCATAAAAACAGAAAGACTGCGTGAAGAAGTCCCATTTGCGTGCGCCACCTTGCTTGCCTCCCGCGAGGACATTGATCGAACGATGAGGGATTTAAATCCCCCGGAAGTGGCACCGGACTTCCCACATTGCCATGCCAACGACTTGCGCGTGCCCAACACTTACAGGGAGGCAGCAACCACAGAGTGTCATCAAGGCCAAGTGGGTGTTTAACTGGAAGTCTGATGAGTATGGATGGCCGACTAGTGTGAAATCACGGCT